AGGGCACTGGACTCCCACATGGCTGACCACAGTTCATGTCCCGGACCTGGCAGCTTGCTTTCTCACTTTCCCTCTCTTTCTCTCTCTGTCCCTCTCTGGTCAAATTAAAATAAATAAATAAAGTCCAATAAAATCATTCTTTAAAAAAAAAATTCCAGGGAACCAGCAGTTAGCGTAATGGCTATGTCGCTGGACTCCCACGTAGTCAACCACAGTTCGAGTCCCGGACCCGGTGGCTTAAAACTCACGCCGGGCGCGTGTGCGTGCGTGCCCAAGATCCCGAGAGGAGAATGGAGGAGGAGAGATTGCGGCGTGGCCACCCCCCTGGGGGGTGATTTCTCGATTTCCGTCTCTCACTGTCTGCATCGCTATCTCTCTAGGAAGAGCATGCATCCTAAGGGAAAACCTCTATAAGAATAATAATAATAGTAAAAAATATGAAATAAATAGGGGCCACCAATGGGGTGATAGTTAAGGCACTGGACTCCCACATGACTATCCATGGTTCCAGTCCCAGACCTGGTGGCTTGCTTTCTCATTTTGTTTCCCTCTGATGAACACATGTGCCCTAGAGCAAATAAATATAAATTTAAAAAATTAAAAATTAAATACGTATTTATTTGTAATATAATTAAATAAACAACTCTATTTTTTTTCTTTTTCTTTTTTGGAAAGGTTTTTGCTATAGGGTGTGTGTACTCTCCACAAAGACAGAGACAGAGAGACAGAAAGGGAGGTTTCAGGGGAGATGGCCACGCCGCAATCCCTTCTCCTCCATTCTCCTCTCGGGATCTTGGGCACGCACGCACACGCGCCCGGCATGAGTTTAAGCCACCGGGTCCGGGACGCGAACCGCTGTCGACTATGTGGGAGTCCAATGACATAGCCATTATGTCAACTGCTGGTCCCAATAACTCTATTTTTTATTAATGTTTATTTATTCATTTATTCCTTCCATAAGGGAAAGAAACAGAGAGACAGGCGCCCCCAACAGTGCCCTCCTGTGGTTATCAACCCCCAGCCTCTCCCAGTCCTGCCTCCTGCCTGGCGTGTCCCGGGAGGTCTCTGGCTGTGGACAGACCCAGTCCAGCCCCGACAATAAATATTTATGTTAACTCTCTTCCTCTTGGTGCCAGAAACCATCTGGGGGCACGGGTTCTGCGCTCTGCCTATCATAGCCATGGGAGAGCCCTAAAACAAACAGATGAACACACTGATAGAGCGAGCTGATGTAAGAAGGAAATAAAACAGGCTGGAGACAGAGGGGCCGAATCTGGCTGGGAGAGTTCCAGGAGGTCGCTGGAGAGACAGAGACAGAGACAAAAAGCGAGAAATCCCCCCCCAGGGGGGACAGCCACGCCGCAATCCCTTCTCCTCCATTCTCCTCTCGGGATCTTGGGCACGCACGCACACGCGCCTGGTATGAGTTTAAGCCACCGGGTCTGGGACGCGAACCGCGGTCGACTACGTGGGAGACCAGCGACATAGCCATTACGACAACTGCTGGTCCCTTTTTTTTTTTTTAAGAGTTATTTATTTACTTTTATTCATTCACTTTATTTTAATTTGACCAGAAAGATACACAAAGAGAGAGAGGGACCAGCAGTTAGCGTCATGGCTATGTCGCTGGTCTCCCACGTAGTCGACCGCGGTTCGCGTCCCAGACCCGGTGGCTTAAACTCATACCAGGCGCGTGTGCGTGCGTGCCCAAGATCCCGAGAGGAGAATGGAGGAGAAGGGATTGCGGCGTGACTATCCCCCCTGGGGGGTGATTT